AAGCTAAATTTATAGTTTTAAAGACTAATCATATTGTATTAATATAAAACTGATCTAAAATTTAGTATATGTAAGATATGAAAAGAGGATTTTTCAGAATAAAAGTAAACAAACTTATTATTTTGTCCCTGTAAGAATATGAGTACTATGAGGGCAGGAATTTTTGTATGTTTTGTTCATGATATGTCTACAATCTCCTTTGCCAAATATCTAAAGACTCATAGGTGATAATTGAAGGACGGTGACAGTTTGACAGAAAGAGTACTCCTTGAACCTATATTTTCTCTATGTGCTACTAGAAACATTTTCTGTTCAACTAACGTACGTTCACCATTACATAGCTCAAGCCAGAAATATAAGTAATGTTAATTCACCCTTCTCACACATGCAAACTTATTGAAGTTTAGCCCAAGTATTTTTTTAAATGCAACAGATTGGAGTTTATCTTGGAAGGGTGCTTCCATCTGTGAAAACTGTCATTGGAAGAAGGAAGAACACTTTAAAATAAATCCACCAGCTGTATTGATAATCTCGTAGTGATATGAAGGGTTGAATATGATAGGACTATTTGTTAAATTAGTTATACCATATGACAGGATAGCTGGCTTGTGAGTTTTTCAGTTCTTGATAATGACTTTAAAAAATCATTAAATTGTAGAGGAATGACACTAATGAAGTTTGAAGCTATAATTTTAAAATAAAAAGCAAAGAATTAAAGTTATTTTAAAATTAACTCACCTAAATGGCACATGCTGTGCCTAAGAACATGCTTTAAAAAAATCCAAGGACTAATGGAAAATTCAACACCTTCAAAATAGAGGTAAATTAATGGGCTAGTAAACATTCAATGCCTATACTTTTGTGTTTTTTGAAAGCAACAAACCTTTCAAACATCAATTTTGTCATTTACATTTTTGTTAAAAGAGGGGATGAAAGTCCTCATGCTTTATATATAAAACAAGTCTGTACCCAAAAGATCAGATATTTATCTTGTATCCTTCCTAACATAGCCCTGTACATTTTTCTTCACGCAGTGGAATACTAAAATTCTTGCAACTGATTGAATAACATGAAGAAAACAGTTGAAGTGGTGTGTATTTTCTAGAAGGAGACTGCTGGGGTACCTATAAAGTACCCTTCTAAATTTAAATTTTCTAGCCTTTGCTTTTAAAAAGGTTAAAGAGCTCATAGCACAGAAATCAAACCTCTTGTGTAGAAGGAGGACTTAAGAAATCTTCCAACTTGCTATGAGAGAAAAAATTGATATTGATCTTGACATTCTCTATGGGAAGAGTTGAGGAAGTGTTCTCTTTCTAATAGGTTTCTGAATGTCTTTGACTCAAGAGTACCCAGATACCTAAACAATGGAATTATCTACCAATATTTCAAATTTATCTGTAAGAGATGGATTGCAAAGATGACTTCTGCTTCAAAACCATTCTTCTGTATTCTGTGATACATGCTGATGCTTTCCTTTTTTCCAGGCATCATTATGCAATCTCTCTTAAACTCTCCATCTTTCCCTTTCCTTTCTGAGAATTTCCGCATCATCTATTCAATCATTTGGCTAGTTAGTTTCTTAATACTAGAATCCTTCAATTAAAAAGCTTCAATTAAATACTAAACCCTTAGCTTGGCAGTCAGGATTCTCCATAATTTGATCCAAGCACATTTTTCAAATATATCCTCTAATCATCTTTTCCTAAGTGAATGAATTACTCCAGCTAAATTGCCAAGTCATTATACCAAGGCCTATTCTGTACTTTCTTGAATATGTACTCATATCAATCAGGAATGATTCAGATGTCATTCTCTCTTATTTCTTACCCCTGTTACACCCAAAATAATTTGGGCTGCCACCCATTAAAGCTGATACTCGACAGCTTAACCTGAAATGGCTTCTTACTCTGAGATTAAAGCATCTTGATGTCAGGGAGTGTATATTTGTTTGTTTTTTTTTTTTTAAATACACATAATGCTTTATATTTAAAAAACATTCAATAAATCCTTATTTTAACAATTTTAAATCTTTCTACAAATTTTATTTTGGCGAAAGGGTTACACTTGGAATTGTGAGAGTGTTGGAGAATTATTAGACAATTTCATGGCCATTGAAATGCAGTGGATCAGGCTCTAGTAGTTTAACAGATACAGCAAATCAGGAACCATAAGTATAATTTTAAATATTTTATTTGTTGCTATTATTCAACTGTGTCTCTTTTTCTTCTTGTGTTACCATTTTATATGAAATCTTGACACTCAATTTGGGGCTCATGAAACAATCAATATTCTTGTGGAAAGATCCTTGTGTGTTTAATTGTATTGTATTGTTTCTTTGCTTTTTTTCCCCTAAATATCCCTAACACTGATCTACAAATTATAATCACATTTTTTTCATGATATTGTTTTTATGTAACAAGGACACTTCTAATTATGCAAGAGGATTTTTAGTCAGTGAGTTAGTCAATAAATATTTGTTAATCAATTATGGCACATATCTGCGATGTCAAGTAAGAGGAGGAAAGAATACTGACCTATGGCTTTGAGATGATCTCTAGCAGTGATTAACTGCTCAGTTGAATGTACTAAGTGGGATCAGTGGGCTTAAGTAGGAACTAAGAATCTTTGCTTGGGAATACTCTGATTAATTTTAACTTAGTAATTGTTAGTTTTGGCCATTGTTAAGTAAAATTACCCAAACCAGAAATTAAGGCCAAAGAGGTGACTGTATCCCTTTATTATCATACTAAAATATTGTTTAAATACAAGGGTATACTTAAGTATTATTTAATATTCTAGGAAAAAGAACCATTGGCTGACTCTGCTGTTTTATATTAAAAGTTTAGACTATGAATTTGCATGTTAATTTGTAGATTTGTATCCAATAGAGATGCAAATGATTTCTGGTCAGGAGAAAAATGACTCCAAAAGTTTTGCTTTATTGCCTTCTATTACATTGACCAGTTCTGTATCTAATCTAGCTATCTCATCCCACTATTTTTTATTAGATTGCCTGTATAATTCTCAGTACCTCAATGCACTTTTTAAAATATAAAAGCTTTATTGAGATATAGTTTACCTCCCATATCTTTTCTCATGTAAATGCATTTGACAATTTGAGGATATCAAGAATGTTTGTAGAGTCGCAACCATCACCACAGTCAATTTGAGAATATTTTTATCACCCTCAAGAGAAACCCTACACCTATTAGCAGTCATTCTCCATTTCCTCTCAGACCCTGAGCCCTAGAAAACCACTAATATGTTTTCTGTCTCTACAGTTTTGCCTATAATGGATGTTTCATATAAATGGAATCATATAATGTATGGTTTATTGTGAATGGCTTCTTTCACTTAACATAATCTTTTCAAGGTTCATCTATGTTGCATGCATGCATCATTACTTCATTCCTTTTTATTTCCAAAAATAATAGCTACCTGTATGAATGTATCACGTTTTATTTAGCCATTCATGAGTTGATGGGCAGTTGGGTTGTTTTCACATTTCAGCTGTTATGAACTATGCTGCTATGAACACTAGTGTACAAGGTTTACATAGGCTTATGTTTTCAGTTCTCTTGAGTGTACACCGAAGAATGGAATCGCTGGGTCATATGGTAAATTAAACTCTGTTTTTAACCTTAGGAGGAACTGCCAAATGCTTTTTCAAAGCAGCTACAGCATTTCCCAATCCCATCAGCAATGTATGAGGGTTCTAATTTTTTGGCATCATCACCAGAAGCTTTTGTTGTTTGTCTTTTTGACTACAGCCATCCAAGTGGGTGAAAAGTGGTATTCACTGTCGTTTTCATTTGCATTTCTCCGATGGCTAATGAGTATGAGCATATTTTATTGTACTTATTGGCCATTTGGATATCTTATTTGAAAAAAATGTTTATTCTAATTCATTGATCATTTTAAATTGGATTATTTGTCTTTTTATTATTGAGCTGTGTTTCTTTAAATATTCTAGATACAAATCCTTTATCCATACATGATTTGCAAATATTTTCTCCCGTTCAGTGGGTTGTCTTTTCACCTTCTTGATAGTGTCCTTTGAAGCACAAAAGTTTTTAATTTGATGAAATCCAGTTTATATATTTTTTCTTTTGTTGCTGTGCTTTTGGTGTCTTATCTAAGAAATCATTGCCCAATTCAGTGTCATAAAGATTTACTCCTATGTTGTCTTCTAAGATTTTTATTGATTTATTCCTTACATTTAGATTTATGATCTACTTTTAGTTCATTTTTGTGTATGGTGTGAGTTGGGGTCAACTTTCATTCTTTGCTATGTGGATTTTCAGTTATTCTAGCATCATTAATTGAAGTGAATATTATTTTCTATTGAATTGCTTTGGAACCCTTTTCAAAAATTAATCGAACAGACACGGTAAAGCTTTTATGTGGAATCTTAAGTCTGTCACATTAATCTATATGTTTATCTTTATGTTAACACCATACTATCTTGGTTACTGCATCTTCGTATTCAGTTTTGAAATCAGGAAGAGTGAATCCTCAGATTTCATTCTTACTTTGCATAGTTGTTTTGGCGATTTTGGATGCCTTGGATTTTCCTTTGGATTTTAGGATCAGCTTGTCAGCTTTTGCAAAGAAGTCAGCTGGGATTTTAATAGGGATTGCATTGAAGCTTTAGATAATTTGGGGAGTATCATCACCAAAAAGAATTTATGACAAGATATATTAATGGTGAGATGCTTTCTGAATGGAAACTATTTATAGGGCATCTGTATTTTAAATTTTAATTTTCTAAAATTGATTATTTATTTTTCAAAACACTATGTATTGAATATTCCTGTATGTCAAATACTCTGCTAGTTTTGAGTGGATTGTTCCTGATAGTAAACAATCTTGTAACCTGTGCATCTTATACACATCTTGATTTTCAATTCAATTACTTAATATAATAAATGTTTGTCATAATTTGGATGTTTAAGGCATATTGTTATATAGTAAAATTTTATTTTATATTATTTTTGCAGAACTATTATGGAGCTGCTAAGATGATTTTTTCTGACAACCCACTTGGTCTCACTTGTGGAATGGTATGCCCAACCTCCGATCTTTGTGTAGGTGGATGCAATTTATATGCCACTGAAGAGGGACCAATTAATATTGGTGGATTGCAGCAATTTGCTACTGAGGTATGTAAAATGTATACATGGTTCCCCCTCCCCCAAGCACAAAGATGTTAAAATAACTTTAATACTCAGTGCTCTGTTGATACCCAATATTTTTAGTGTGATACACAGCTAAAGCATAAGTGTTTTGTGCAACAAGCAGTATTTTTATTCAACAGCTTGGGTACAAAAATGAAAGTTTATAAAACCGTATGTCAAATTAGTTGCAATCCCAGCAGGTTATTAAAATACTTTGACTGAAAGTATATAAATTAGATGATCTGAAAATAGAACTTATTCATTAACTTTACATTGAAGTGTGGCAAAGGGACTCTGTTATGAAAAGGCTATCTTCCTTAACTGATTCTTTTCCCTGAAACTCTCTTAAATCTTTACAGCTTGCAATCTGGAATATTTTGTAATACTCTTTGAATAATAGAGGTTACAGAATTTTTGAAATCTCTGAAACCGAGTAATATTCTTCAACAGCATTAAAAAAATCATTAGATTTTGTGAATTTATAGATTGGAAGAAAATCTGTTACTTTAATAAAAATTTATAATGAAGTAAAATGAAAGCATATTTTTACTATTTATTCCATAGGCTTTTGTCCTGACTTTCTCTTTTATGAATCCTTTGTAAATGACTTTGATTCTCTGAGACACCCTTGTGCTCTCTGGGGTCTCCTATTTGGAATCAACAAGCAGGTGAATTCCCATGTATCATTTAAATGATCAGCTTATATGGAGGTTACAGTAAGATTTTTTAATCTTTGGGGTCTAGTTGGCTAGAAGGCTGAATTAAATGCTTTTCAACACTAGATATTTAGTTAATGACTTACCTGTCTGGTTTTGTCAACCTAGGCACAATGTATTCTTTCCTTTTGGGACCCTTCCCCTAATATTCCTCAAGCTTAAGTCTCACATTGCTTTTAGTAATAAATCAGAGTTATTCCCTTCCTGCTTCCTGACAGGTTAATTCTAAGGAAGGGCTCCTAGGAATAAGAAAGTAGAAACAATTTTAAGGTTGTGAGTTGTCGCAATAAATTCTCGGATTTAATTCTTTTTCTTTTCAAAATCAAAATTGCATTAGGCTTACCTGACCATTGCATGGTATGATCTTTACAACCTGTGAAAATCCTTAGTTGATGGAGAAGATTCACTTGAATTCCTCCCCATCTTTCTTTGGGGACCCATTGCCTCTTCATTAAATCGGGGCAACCTTGCACAAGATGCTGTAAGTGAAAGGTCACATACTTTGTGTATCAACTAACACAACATTCCAAAACAAAATGAATTCAAATGATATAATTTGTCAGTGATTGGGATATGAGGGACAGTGATAGAGATAGAGAGAGCGAGAGAGAGCGGGGGGGGGGGGAGAGAGAGAGAGAGAGAGAGAGAGAAAGAGAGAGAGAAAGAAATACTACCCCTCTGGGAACTCTACTCTCTGGGGACATTATATCCCTTTGGGAACTCTTACTTGGTTTTGCCACTGTTCCCAAAGCAGATTGTATTTACTTAAGACAGAGTTTTGCATGTACCCTCAGTGCTGTATGGAATTCATCAGAAACTCACTAAAATTTGAGAGCGACCCCACATAGGACTTTCCATAAATATCACCTAATGAAGAGTTGTGTATAGATTAGGACTGCAATAAATGCATTTTAAGCAAATCAAGGAATTTAGAATAGGAATGTATCTTCCTACTCCATTCCAATTATACTTTGTATAACTGTGGTTTCAATATCAAATCATAAATAAAAACGTCCCTGTGGGAACTACCTAGAAAGGCTTTCCATCCATTTTTTTTCAGGGTGGCCAGTTAGGGTGAGTTGTTTTAGAAAGTCCTATATTCCCTAGGTCAAAGTATGGTTTACTTAAATGTACCTACCTGTCAAAGTATGGTTTACTTAAATGTACCTAACTGTCAAAGTTGTTATGGAGGTAAGCAAAACATGAGTAGCATATTGAGTGAATATCAATAGAAAAAAGTGTGAAATGCAAAATATTATTTTTTTTCAAACTACTAAACTGTTGATAAGGGTATTTAAGTTGAAGTGCAACATGATGCAAATAATTTTATGTTTTGATTGTTTAATAAAACAATGATTGATTTTTGACCTTTAAAGAAAGCAAATCTATTTTCAACCAAATTAAGCAAAGGTTAGCAAAGCAGAATAAAATGGTATGATATTTTTCAAAATTGTTTTTCCTATAACTTATAAATTATTTTTAAAATATCAACTCTGTAGTCTGCCATTATCGGTTAGGTCCATATCTTATACTTCTCCTTTTGAAGACAAGTATGTGATTTGGAAGGATTATAGTGTAAAAAGGAATAAATTGCACAAAGGATAGCTTGCAGTAGAATAAGGAGACTGGCTACTTTTTTTGGTCCTGTGTTGTCATTACTATCCAACACTTTGCTATTTCCACATCTGCAGTGTGAAGACTAACCTTGCTTAATACACTTTTGTGTCCATGTAATAAACAAGCTATAGGGATGATTATGACTCTTTGTAGAAGGCAGTTTTTCCTAGTAATAATATGGTAAGCCTATGATAATATTGCTTCAATAAAATAACTTGAAAGTAATAGTTCGGTGTAGATTTCCTAAATCTCATAAGGGTTTTTATATTTTTCTGTACGAATAACCCTTAAAAATTTTACTTTGAAAAGCATTTGATTATTTTAATTTTAAAGAAATAATATATTAATTACATTTCATAGATCAACTAGACTCTCATTGCCTCTCACATTTAATTAATGAATCATGCAAAATAAGAAAGAAATGAGAATGCATCTTTCTACACATTGCCTAAAGTTTGAAAACATGATTTTAAATAGAAAATTTGCTGCATATCCAATCACTTCTTTTCTACTGATATGAGAACGGAAAGAGTTATGGAGGCAATTTAGAAAATTAAAATTTCAAGCTTCTAAAATTTCACTAAACGTTGAAGGGAATGAAGACTAGAAAATTAGTACTTAAAATTACTGCCTCAGTTCTGAACTTTTAGGAATACCCTGGATTATGAAAGTGGTATCCAAATATAGTATTTATTTTTTATGAAAAATATTCTGTGAGATTTTTCTATTACCAATTAAATATAGGTTCTGTGGAGCTTGAGATAGGAAAATTTTAGGTCTCTTCTATTAAAAATTATATAAAAACACTACTACAAAATTTAGATACAAAGCCTTAGAAGGGACCTATGCAATGAGGGGCTTTAAGTTTAAGCTTTACCTACAGTTTCATTTAAATTTAAAAATCCTGTCCGATTTTGTTATAATTGGCACGTAAGTAAACTTAGGAATAATCATGTTTATGGTACAATTTGGCAATCTGGTCAATAAAATCTGTCAGTTCATGTTTCTAATCTGAAATTAAGATAAATTGTCATGATAATAAAAAATAAGTAATATTTATGGCTAATATCTTTTGTGAGTCATTTATAAATAGGATATGGATTGGAGAATAGTTAGATCAATGACATCTCACACTTGCCCTATTGTCCTCAATTTTTATCATTTTAAATAAAATTCCTCTTTACTATTCATATTTAAAATAGTATTATCAATAGTTTGTTAACATTGCTCATACACAAACATACAAAAGGTTAATTATTTCTGACAGAAATAAGATGTGGATGACAAAATATATATTAGAAAGTAAGAAAATAAATAATTTTTACACTGGTGGAATGTGGTAACATGAAACAGCTACATTAGGACAGGTGAATTGGGAGGATTTCTGTGGGCAAATACAAGCAAATACAAGACATTAATATTTGTGTCTTTCCTTTTGATCTTAATGCATGATTAATAGAAAGGAATAATGTATTGATAGATTTTAGTAAATATCTGACATTCTTCTCTAAAAATCTTTAGCAATCTATTAAAAATACTCAGTGTTGGCACAATGATTGATAATAAAATTGTGGACTGGGTGACTGCTAGATGATTTTCATCACAATATTTTAGTTTGTTTTAAAATTATATCTTAGTATATAGAGCTTTAAAACATAAAAATAAACTACAATGATTTAGGGGCAGTAACTTTGAAATTTACCAAAATTGCATAGTTCAGATTACTTACCATTAGTTATTTTTCTCTAAATTTGTTTTTTACAAGTTCAAATATATATAATCTTGTGGTCAACTTACAGTTTAGAATAATGGCTTTTCATTGGTTTGAGCCTTAACAACTTAAAAAAGGTATATTTTCATAAATATATGTGACGAATGCTAGTATGAAGCAGTATAGTGCAATGTTATTATATGAGCATGAATCACTTATAAAAGGCATGGATGCTATGAGGTAAAATTTAAGCCACCCATTTTGCTCCAGAGAATAATGGTAAATAAAATTGAATAACGCAGAAAAAATAAAAGCTGAACTAAAAGGAGAGAGAAATGCCTTTTGGGGCCAGAAATGGTATAGAGACATTCAATGTAAGCAGGGAACTTGGGTCACTCTCTGCTAGTCTCTGCATTAACAATCAGAGGCTGCTGGGAGGAGACGGGGGATTGACTGGTCTGAGGTAATAAGTACTAATAATGTCTTGCATGGTAGAGGACCAGACTCACCTATACCTGGAAGAAAGTTATGCAAATAGATCTAACTACTGTACAAAGCTGGGGCTTATGTAAAGCTGCAGAAAGAAGCAGAGAAAACTGTGCAGCCAGAGTTTGGGGTATGTACTTCGAGGCACAGTAACTTGCTTCTGTGATAGCTGTAATACCACCTGGGCTGTAGCCCTGAGCTTCCCTTAAGAGACCTGGTTCTGCAGTGGGAGAGAGTTATAGGAGTGTAGTTGAGTCGAGGCCAACACATAGCTGCTAAGAAACAAGAAGGGAAGTGCAAAGAAAAAAAAATTTTACTCAACACAAATCTGAAACAAAAAGTTAGAAACCACATTGGAAAAGCTAATATGTCAGTGATAATCAGAAGACTCAACTGATGGGACATAACTTTATCCTAATAAAACAGAAATAATGTTATAAGGCCCTTAAAATTAATACGTATAAAACAGTATCAATAATAATAGGATAAAATGATGAAAAAAATCCTATTGAGTTTAATATAAAAATAGTGTATTGGAAATGTTTGCCGCAATGAAACAATAGAAAAGTTAAGTTTTGGAATTGGATAGAGGCACAGATTTCAGAACTAAAAAAATTGATCTAAGAAATTCAACCAGCACATAATAAAGAGATATAAAGAAGTGAAAAGTATAATATTGAGAGAAAAGTTAAGCAACTTAGAGGACTCTAGTATACATGTAAATGGAGTTCCTCAATAGAGAAAGAGAGATTGGCAGAGGAGCAGCCTTAAAACAGTTACGGTAGAAAATTTTCCAGAAGAACAGAAAGATGTAAGTTCTTTACCTAGACATACAGTTCTTGTAATATTGTGATATACTGAGGATAATGAGAGAATTAAAGCTTCCAGAGAAAGAAAAAACACGTTACTTTAAAACCAGATGACAATTACTCTGACCCTAGAATTCTCATCTGTATCAGTAGGTGTCAGAGGCCAAGAGTACTATATTTATAAAGGTCTAAGATAAAGAACTTTATTTCTTTTTTGACAGAAAGGACATTAATAAAGTTATTTCCAAGCATTTTATATCTAAGGTAGTTTAATACTCCCTTACCTTTTTATAAGAACTATGAAGAGTTATTCTTTACAATGAAGGAAACAAAACTGTAATAAAAGAGAAAAGAAACAATGATGAACAAAAAACCCATCAAAATATGGGAGTAAATATAATTAAATATTGATTAGAAAGTAATAACAACTTATTTTGACATGTTGAAAATAAAGATGGAAATAAAATGTTATATAATATTGACAAAGAATATATTTCAGAAGAGAAAAATAAGTAATGATAAAAAGAATAAATGTCTTAAAAGATGTAACTTTCACAAAGGTGTATACACATTGCAACATAGCCTTACTTAAAATTTGTAGGGTTTATTGGAGTAAAGTTTATTATGTTGATTTAAGAAATGTATGGAGCTTTCTGAACCCAACTAATATAGTGTGATTATATCTTTTTCATGCATTTGTGGAAAATTTATCAAAACTGACCATGTACTAGGTCAGAAACAGTGACTGATAAATGTGCAGACAGTTCCCAACTTAGGATGGTTCGATTTAGGATTTTTTGATTTTATGATGGTGCAAAAGTGATACACATTCCATAGAAACTGTACTTTGAGTACCCATACAACTATTCTGTTTTTGACTTTTAGTACTTTATTTAATAAATTATGTGAGATATTTAAAACTTTATTATAAAATAGGCTCTGTACTAGTTGACTTTGCCTAACTGTAGGTGAATGTAAGTGTCCTGAACATGTTTAAAATAGGCTAGGCTTAGCTTTGCTGTTTGGTAAGTTAGGTGTATTACATGCATTTTCGGCTTATGATATTTTCAACTTACTATGGGCTTATCCAAATGTTACCCCATGGTAAGTAGGGGAGCATCTGTATATTATATCCAAATCAGTATAAACAGACTATTTTTTCTATAACACAATATATTAGAATATAAAAATTAAAATATCAGAATGAAAGCAATAACAAATTTGTGTTTGGAAATTTAAAAAGCACATTTGCAAATAACTCAAAAGTTAAAGAATGTATCACCATAGAAATTATACAATATTTATACCTGTCTGAGAACTTCCAATGACCAACTGTGAGATGCAGTCCAAGTCATTTTTACATTAAAATTTGTAGTGTTATGTGTATATAACAGAAAAGAAGAAAG